CAACATGGCCCTTCTGAATGGGGAACCGAGGGCAACCCCCCTCAGTCTGTGGGCTAAGAGGCTCCTTGGTCAACGCAGTACCATTAAGTTGGTCCCTATCTAGGTCAACACCCTCCATGCTTCCAAACACATTCGAATCACCTTGGAGTTTTAAACCTGTTCAAGCCATACCCCAGAGCTACCAAGTCTCTATTCTTAAGGGAGGGCCACAGCACTGAGGGAGTGTCAGTGTGCAGCCAAATTTGGAAGCAGATGTTGAAACTCTCGTGAGAATTGGTGGAAATGGAGTTCCTGTATTTCAGTAACCGTGGGCTCCAGGAAACAGGGACCTATGTTTCAGAACCACTCATGGCTCTACTCAACGGGTGACCCAAAGACCAGCAAGATTAGCCTCCCACTTCCCAACCTTGCAGATTCACATGGGAACTGATGCGAATTTGTAGATGAGGCACAGAAAAGGTTCCCTAGTGACTCCGCTGCACACTGAAGATTAAGACGCCCTGGTCTAAACCGCCTTCTCCAGTTCATTCGGGGGCGGGGCGGGGGCGGGGGGACATCAGGGGAGTAAGAGGAACAAGATACCTGGACCGGCATATTGATTCACGCCCGCACTCCCAACACTGGGGAGGTTGAGGCAGGAATATCATGAGTTTGAGAGGACTCTGTGCTTCAGAAAAAAAATCAATTAAATGAACAAATAACCACCAACAAACTGACACAGCCAAAGTAGTGGCCGCTAAAAGGGAGACGTTTTCCTTCTTTTACTCACTCCTCTGGCTCACGTGGTTGCTCGGTGTCTCTGATTTGAACCAGTCTTGACCATTAAGAGTGGACAGCGGTGAGGGGAAGAGAGAAGAGGAGTTTGGATTTTTGAATGCATATTAAAGGCAACAACACATCATAATTTTCCAGTAGCCTTAAATAGAACCTTTGGTTCTTTTTCATGTCCCCAAAGCCATATCCAGTATGGGCCCAAATTCCATTACTTAACTAATTTAATCAATACCTACTGATACTTATTAGACATACTATGGATTTGATATGGCGTCAGAGATGCTATTGAGCACATAAGTAGACAAACATTTGAACCATGATGAGCACTAGTAAGGAACCGCACAGTATACAAGACGGTGTTATGCTAAGCCTATATTTTTCTTGAGTGACGTATAAGCTGGGACCTGAAGTGTGGGGCTCATCAGGCAGAATGGTAGGGAAGCCGTATTAGAGGAGAGATTTATGTCAAGCTTCTGAGGCAGGAGAGTACTAGTGAGTTCAAGTTATTCAGAGATGGTGAGTATGGAAGCTGAGGGAAATGAGGTTAGAGAGGACAGAGACTGGGTCATGCAGGGATTTGCTGAGGAGAGGGTGTTTTGTTCTGAGGAAAGGCAAAACTGCACACAAATGACCATACGCAGTTATGTCCGTGTAGCAGAGAGATGCCTGGCCTCATTTGTGACCCCAGGGGTTCCTTGGGTCTGGTACTGAGGCCCTGATTTGCAATTTTCTGAGTGGTCTACTAACCTCTCTGAGATCCAATCTATTAATCTGTAAAATGGGAACAATGATAGAGATTTGATGAGAAAGTTAAGTCAATTAAAGCTTGGCACGTAAGTATCTGTGGTGGGTAGAATAATGCTCTTCCCCAAAGGTATATACAACCAAATCTCCAGAACTGAGAAAATAGTATACTACTTGGCAAGGAGGCATCGCAGCCTAGTAGGTGAGGTGACTTCAAAAGGGTATCTGGATGTGGATTTGGGTGGGTAGGGAAGGGGGTGGGATCTGGGAGGAACTAGGGGACGGGAGACTGAAGTCAGACCACAATTACATGAAAAAAACTATTTTCAATTAAAAAAAGATGATCATAATTACATGGAGGGGCCTAAGATCATCACAGGAATTCTTTTGACATTGAAGAGGGAGCCGGAAGAGTCAGTGCTGGAGTGATTCAATTGGAGATTGTATTCTGTTCTTTCTCATTGTCTTAGTTTTTTTAATTGCATTAATTTCTTTTTGTTGCTGTGATAACTCCAACAAAGGCAAATGAATGGAGAAAAGTCTGTTCTAGCTCCTGGTTCAGGGATACAGGGTGTTTCAGGGAGGTTAGGGTGGCAGAAACTCCGGGCTGCTAGACGTGTCTTCACAACCACAATGGTGAGCGTGACAAAGGCACACATTCTGACTGTCGTGATTTCCCTGCCATGCTGGACTGTAACCGGAACTGTGAGCCAAACACACTTTTCCTTAAGTCACTTTCATCAGAGCGTTTTATCACAAGAAACGGGAAATGCCATTAATATAGAAATTGGTACTGAGAGGTAAAGCTGTTGCTGTGATACACCTGACTGTAGGGTTCCTAGGTCTTTGGAGATATTTTGTGGCTAGAATGTGAAAGAGTTTGGTATTTTGGGTTAGGAAAAGTCCTGAAAGCTGGAATTAGATCAGAACAAGCCATTCTTGTGACACATTGGAAGCTGGGAATAGTAATGCTAAGAGAAACTGAACATTGAAAGCTTTCTGTGTCAGTTTCCAGAGGCGAATAAAGACTGTATCAGGAACTGTGGTAGGGGCCATTCATGTGTTATTTTGGCCAAGAATATGACTGTCATCTGTACATGTCCTGAGAACCCAAGTGGTGCTGAATTGAGAGGTAATGGACTAATTTGTTTGCCAGAGAAGAATCTTAAGACAGGAGACCATTCAGGGCTGGTGCTGAGAAAGCAGCTGTGATTACTACAGAGCTCAGCACCACTGAGGTAAAGTCTCATATACCAGGACAACAAGCAAGCTGTCCTGAAGGGAAATCAACACTTCCCAGAGGTTCCATCTTGTTCATTTAGAAGGAGAAAGACTGAGGGGAAGGGATTCCCTGCTCCTGAAAAGGAGGTGCCCCAGAGAGTGGTTGAGCTGCATCTTGAGCTGGAGGAAGAACTTAGAATCATTTTCCATTCAATTCCTTCTTAGTTTTGAAGGCATGGGCTGTGCAACATTGAGAGATTGGTGGAAAGCAGCTGAGCCCAGGCAGTGTGTGTCCATGTCAGAGCTCCTACAGGGCGGCCCGGAGAAGCTAGTGTGTAAAGCTATGAAGATGAAACCTCCATTTCAGTGGAGACCCAGGGCTTTGGAGATACCAGGACTATGGGATAGAGCCTAGGAGATGTAACATGGACTGGTGCTATCACAGAAGACAACCTCTGTGAGATGAAGGGATAGGGCTGTGCAAGACCTTTGGAAACCAGTTGATTGCATTATGAGCACTAGATCCAACATTTAATGTTTTCCCTTCTGGAGTTTGGTTTTGTTTTGGTGTGATTATTTCTTCCCAAGTCTTCCATCTTGGAAAAAAGAGAGTGTTAACTCTGAGCCATTGTATTCTGGAAGTACTTACCAGTTAAGAGATGTAGGACTTTTAAAATGCTGCAATTGTTAAAGACTATGGGGATTTTTAAAACTGGGGTGTATTTTCATTATGAGACAAATATGAAACATTGGAGACAAGGAGTGAAAGATTATGGCTTAAAAGTGATGTGTTAGGCATCAAGCTGACAAGGGGTCCAGTTGTGATAGCATTAGTGACCAGCATGACACAGCCTAGAATCCTCTGAGGGACGACTGTCTTGATTAAGTCAGTTGATTTGAAAAGACATCACCACTGTAGGTGGGATCTGCAGCAGGCTTTTTCTTTCAGGCCACCAACCAGCTCCCAAATCACAAAATGGAAACTTCTTATTAGTTATGCATGCTTGGTCTTATCTTAGCTCTTACTTCTTGCTAGCTCTTATAACTTAAATTATCCTGTTTCTCTTTATCTATGTTTTGCTTTTTAACCTCTCTCTCTCTCTCTCTCTCTCTCTCTCTCTCTCTCTCTCTCTCTCTCTCGTCACCATGGCTGGCTAGTGGCTGCCTGGCTTCTGGCCCAGGCATGTCCCTCTCTTTCTCCCTCATTTTCTTGATTCCTTCTTCTCTCTTGAGTCTAGATTTTTCCTCCTACTTATTCTCTCTGGCCACCAGCGCTGCCTATCTTTCTCCTGTCTAGCTATTGGCCATTCAGCTTCTTATTAGACCAATCAGGTGCCTTAGGCAGGCAAGGTGAAACAAATGCAACACATCTTTACATAATTGAACAAATGCAGCATAAACAAATGAAACATATCCTTACCTCATTAAACAAATGCAGCACAAACAAATGTAACATATCTATACACAAAAGTAATATTCTGCAGCATAAAGAAATGTAACACATCTTTACATATGTAAACTAATATTCCACAACAGGGACCCTTCTCTGGACTAGGGATACTGTCTAACAACAGGAAGCCAACTGAATACCAGCATACATGGACTCATTACCCTCTAGCTGAGTACCAGCATACATGCACTCACTCATTACCCTCTAGCTGAGTACTAGCATACATGCACTCACTCATTACCCTCTAGCTGAGTACTAGCATACATGCACTCACTCATTACCCTCTAGCTGAGTACTAGCATACATGCACTCACTCATTACCCTCTAGCTGAGTACCAGCATACATGGACTCATTACCCTCTAGCTGAGTACCAGCATACAAGCACTCACTCATTACCCTCTAGCGGAGTACCAGCATGCATGCACACATTACCCTCTTCTGTGACCAGCTGCTCCAAGCTCCTGACACTGTGATTTCCCTGCAATGATGGGATGTGACCTGGAATTGTGAGCTAAAGAAGCCTTTTCTTTCTTAAGTTCCTTTTAGCAGAATATTTTATTGCAGGAACAGGAAAGGAAACTAAAACAGTGACTCTGCCTGCAACTGCTGGCTCTGCAGGTAGAAGGGGCCACAGGGCAAGGAATGCAGGCAGCCACGGACACTGGAAAGGGGAGACAATTGATTCCTACCTCTAGTCCCTAGGAAAGTACCCAGCCTTACTCACATCTTGATGCTGGGCTCACAAGATCTGTATCAGATTTCTGACCCCCACAACTATAAGATAATTTAAGAAAAATGTGTTTAAAGCCATTAATTTTAGAGAGCAAGTTTTAATCAACTGCTTAATGAATGCATTTTATACACGTGTTATACAGATTACATGCATGTCTAGTCTCTAGAGGACAAAGAGGGCCGGTTATAGATGAACTCTGCCAAACTGTGTAAGTTGGTGATGTTAATGATTTCAACCCAGAAGGTAGTGATGGGAGCGGAAGGAACAGACCCAGCCACAAAACTTGGAATCTTTTGATTTGTCTTGAACACACAAAGCCCTCAGGTTTCAGTGAATTTTTCTGGAGCTTTGGCCATATACAGCTTTGCTGCAGATGAAAGCAGTTTGAAGGGAACATTTGGGCAATGTGTCAGGGTAGGCAGCTTGAGCAATTTCAAAACCGTTCCCCTGAAGATGGGACAGTGAATGTGATTGCCCGCTGTGCTACCCTGAAACGGAGTCCTGTCCCCATTCAGGCGAGAGTCTCAGGGGTCTGTCTCTGGGGCAGGAGTTAAGTACTCACGCTGCTCCCAAAGTTGCTTCATATGTCTTTGGCTTTAACGTGACAGTGACCATCTGTCCTACCCAGTCCCCGAGGGACACATTAAAGGAAGCAGCACATGGACATGCCGGCGAGAAGAAGCAGGGTGCAAAGACTGAATGGAAGGACTTTTCCTGGGTTTTCCTCACTGCATCCAGGGGTGGAACTGGGAACAAAATGCCAAATGGGTTCAGAGGCTCCAGAGTGGGCGTGGGATCATCTGTTTCTATAGAAATGTGTCCATAGGATGGTTGTCGGGCTTTTGGAAGTTGGAATCAGTCTTGTTCTGAAAAACACGTTGCGGCTTTTCATAATGTTTCCGATGCCTTCTTACTGCCCAGGGAGTTTTCTAGTAGCTGTCCTGTCTCTAGCCGGAATTTACAGACGTCCTGTGAAAATACGGTGGAGGTTTTAGGATTCCGAGCCAGGTTTCTACCTTTCCATGAAGAGAGGGCCTCAGCGCCTGCACACAGTAGAGAACGAGGAGCTTGGCCTCCAGGACTTTTGGCATTTTCCTGCCGCCTCCCTCCTGCTTCTGGCTCAAGGCTGTACCCGGAGAGGCCTGGCTCTTAGCCAGTTGTCAACTAATCCTTGCTAAGGTGTTAGGCGGCAGAGGCTCAAGGGTTATTAATCTTGTAAGAGCTTTCCACATTCAACAAAGTTTTGTTATTAAATCAGAGAACATTAAAAAATCACCACCACAGCATAAACCAACTTCTCTGTGTTCCTATAAATCTTTACCTTTATAAATGAGTATAGCTCATGACCGTGATATATATATGTAATTTTGTTCACTAAGGACATTTTTACACTTTCTCACATTTAAAAATATCGCACTCCCACCATTTTACTAGTTTGAAAGTACCTCTTGTAACATCTGGCCATAATTTCTCTCCCATAAATCCAGTGACTCTCCACATCTGCCACTTCCTGGGGACCACGGTGTCAATTGACCCCTGCCTCTAGGCATGCCGGGCCCTCTCCAGGTGAATAAGTAGCTTACATTCAGAGTGAATCCATTGGAGTCTATGACATCAAGGGCAAGAAAAGGATTCCGGTTGATCTCTTTTGGGAAAGTTGAACCTCCAAGATGGCAGTTTAGGGGGGTGGGAGATGGCTTTCCCCCAACCCTGAGGGGGTTGGCACCATGATGCGCCTGAGGGAGAGCTGTGAACCAGATGAGCAATGGAGGGCAGTGGTGACAGGATTTCCCCGAGGCCCAGGCACATTTCTGCTCTTGATTTCTGCAAGACATGCTTGTATTGTTGTTGTTGTTATTATTATTTTACTTGCAAAAAATGAACCCAAATTAATTACAGTAACGATGACAATTTTGGTCACACTGAACATTTGCTAGTGCCAGGTACTTTATTTCTACTCGAGTTTAATCCTTTATATGCAATGAGCTAGCTCAGATGTTTGCTAATTTCCCCAGGATAATTTGCCTCAGTGGTCTGGGGTTTGAATCCTGTTCTGTCTGATGCCGCAAAAAGTCTTTAGTTTTAACTATTTCTTAGTGTGTCCTCCCAAGGTAAGTGTGTTGCCATAGAAGTCGGGTGAGGAGAAGGAAGAATCATTATGCTCCCCAAGAGTATGTGTTAAACACCAAGACTGTCAGGAAGAAAACGTTTTGAGATGGTGCTTGCCACCTCAGGGCTCTGTGGCCACCTTGTGTCCTGGCTGTTAATTGGTTATAACTCCTCTGAGAGTCTCACCTTTTCTCCAGCAGCAAGGAAAACCTGTGCTGGGTCTTGTTCCAGTCCATGCGTGAGTGAAACATGTGGTTTTGCCAGGGTGATTTTGTAGGGCATCTCCTCTGACCATCGGCAGTGTGCTTAGGGCACCTTCCCCTGCCTTGAGACAATATTCTTAAGCAGTTCAGATCCGCGCCTGTCACTCATGGGCTGATTCACTGTCTCCACAGTCTCATTAGGCCTTCATCCTGGGCCTACCCTAACCCTGGTGACACAGGACCAATCATACACCATAGTTGCTGCTTTCACAATCCCAGTAGCATTTGAAGATTCTCCCTAAGAGCACCAAACATTAAAATCAGAGCTGAGACTCATACGGTTGCCTCCGAGCCGAAAGGATAACTGAGTCTGAGGCTCAGTGAGTGAGAGCTTAAGGGGACACTGGATCTTAGAAGCTGTGAGATTTTGTATGAATCTAAGTGAAATAAATACATCTACATCTATTGTGATAAAACATTTATTGATGGTCATACTATTTTGCAAGGCTATTTCTCCCCATGTCTCCCTTTAAGGATGTCACAATTTCAGGAAATGAAAGGATTAGTTACACACCCCTAAATGAGCTTAACATCAAGTAGACATTTGCCTCTGCGAAGACATGGGCTTGTTGTTTTCCTTAGCTCAGCATTTCTTCAGAAGTATCCATTCAGTGCAGAGAAAGAAGCCATGCTATGCGCTGATCAAAGGTGACCAGTGAGAACCATGCATTATAGAACTTCTGCTTCCTCAGGATGGATACAGCAGAGTTACATTCTTGCTGGACCAGAAAGATGTCTCAGGATAAAGAATAGAATTTCAGGAAACTCAGATAAAACTGGCCTCTGGGGATTGAAAACAAACAAAAACACACAGGCAAATGGTCGGAGAGAAAGGCAGAGTCCTCAGCAGAAAGCCCTTTGTAAGGAAACGGTCACATTTTCCCTTTTACATAATTGTCATAAATGTACAGCCAAATTAAACGTGTCATAGATAAAATTACCAAGCGGAGTACCACCCGGCTGTCTCCTGTGAGCTGTTTATGGATGCAGTGTACTCCAGCGAGCATCGCAAATCCACATAACGTTCCCGAGTGCTAAATTTGGAGCTCTGATTTAGCTGACAGATGTTTAAAATCACATTGAATTGGACAACTCCCTGCGGAGGACACGGCTGCAGATGTGAAGGAGAACAAGCTGAGAGTTTGGGAAACAGCCTGAAAGCCTTCATCTCGATCAGCCTTCTTCCATGGGGTAATGTGGGTGAAGGATCATTTCTATGCTGAGTTCATCAAACCCCAACCTCCTGTTGAATCGATGCCAAGATGAATGTGGAGGTTGGATATTGGAGAAAGTGTAGAGTGCTACACTCGGCCTTTACTTAGTGGGTACAAGGGGCTGCAGGTTCCTTGAAAACAGGCAGGAAGCCACACCCTGGAACCTGCTTTGCCCCTCTAGTAACATCTTACGATCAGAAACGAATGTAATTCTGAACATTTAGATTTCAACATCAGTATTTAATTGTCAACCTCTTGGGCAAGGTTGAAATGCTGTTCACAATTCCCCACAACTAAATCTCAAACAGTTCCTCCTTCATTTTCGGAAAACAACAGAATTAAAATTATCCTAGAGTCTTTTTTTTTTTTTTTCAAAAACACATATTTTAGGCTCGTGTTGAGACTCAGACTGAAATGGGTTTGTTTAAAAAAATGTCTGTGTGTTTGATGTGGGAGACTAGTGACCTTTGGTATTTTGTATAAAAAAAAAATGTTTGATGTCTAAAATTTCCCTACTGAGCTCGTATTGTTGCTGATTTTTTTTCTGTGATTTTGTTTCCATGTTCCATCATCTCCCACATTCAAAATAAGTTTTTTAATTACTCAACAGAGCTCATCCCAATGTCTATGCCTCAGATGAATGCCACTCACATTATGATGCTAAGATTGACATGACATGAATCTAACATTGGCCAAACAACTTTAAGACAGAGCCCAAGGAACACTGTCATTGTTAGCGGAATGGTAAGGCTCGTGGGAGAACTCTGTTGCGTTTACACCAGGGCGATGCCGTGCCCACCAAGACGTCACTCAGAATACAAATATCTAATAACATCACCCTCAGAGACTACAGAACACCCTTCAGAGGAAGTTGGTGGGCAGCTGGTGAGGGTGGCAGCGTGGGTATGACTCACACCTTCTCTTCATTAGGATGAGCAGATATGTCAAATGTCTGACAAGCCGAGAACACAGCAAATTCAGCCAATGTCAATGAATTCCTGGAGGCTGGGCAGCGAAAGCTAGGCACTGGGGAAAGCAAACAGGGAAAGAAGAAGAAACAGATTCTAAACACCACCGAGGGAAGCTCACATCATTTTTTTGTGCTACAAATCGTAAATGTCATGCTTCTTGACTTACTGAAACTAGCGCCTTTTACCCCATGATTCTATCTCTGATACTATCTTTCAAACCACAGATCTCTACAATTGGTAGCAGAAAGTTACACACGGATCTGTGGTTTCACTAGAGTCTGAAGGGAAGAAGGGGAAAGAAGATTAAGTTCTAATGTAGAGCTGTATTGTTTGCTTCATCACAGCAAATACGTATTCTTTCACCTGAAAAAAATCTAGTAAAATAATTGAAGCACACATAATACTCACAAAAGTAATTCTGTGGGCTAAGGAATCAGTGGAACTTATAACTCATTAGGCAAGATCTTTGACCTCCAGAGTACACATTTCCCTGTCTAATAAATCAAAGTATTTCTATGATAATAAAGCGCAGCAACAGATATCAATAATATTTTGAGAAGATGAGAAGAGGTTTAGAATGCCAATGTTGTCATTTTTTTTTTCCTGACAGGACAGAAAGAGTAGTTTATTAGTGCTGCTAACTAACTGTAATTCCTGGTAATTCCTGCCAGAGAGTACTTTATGCATTTTCGGAGGACTTTGGACAGTAAAGATATATGTACAGGATTGTGAACTCTGGATCTATTAAATGAAACATAATCCAACTGGTTGAAAGAACAACACTGACAGTCAGATTTAATCCTGACTCCATTATTCCCCTGCTCTGATACCTTTGGTCCAGTTACTTGGCTTTTTTGAGCCTCAGTTTCCATGGCTGTCATGGAGAAAATGTAGTGTCACTTTCTTCCAGCACAGTTGTGGGAAGTACATGAGGAGATGCCTATAAGACATACAGCCTAGGTATCATTTTAATAGCGACTGTAACCATTACTGGGATGATTTCCATATGAAATTCAACCATGACTAGATGACCACAATTGTTCATTCTTACCTTTTACCCATGAGCAAACTGAGGTATTATGGCAAATGACTCCCCACAGCTGCTAGGTGAGGGAAAGGGTTATTGGCGACAACCCCAGTCTTGTAAGCTGGCCAGCTGGCCAAAATAGGACCTGCTTGGTCACCCTATGTAGAGGTATTCTGACCTAGGAAATTTTGAGATGCCCAGGTATTAAATAGGAAAGCCGGGTTCATTTCTTTACCAGAATTTAGGAGCTAATGCTACAGTGATTGCGGAGAAAGAAAGAGCAGTCAGTGGTTTTATTTTATATTTTTTCATGTGTATCTGAGTGTACAGTGTTAGCGTGTTTGTGTGTGTGTGTGTGTGTGTGTGTGTGTGTGTGTGTGTGTGTGTGTGTGCCCGTGCGTGCGAGAGTGTGTAGGCCCAAGATTGATATCAGGACTCTTCTTTGATCAAAGAACAATCTTTAATGCTGATCCTGGTGAGCCTAACTTGTTTTTGGTGTGTGTAGGGGATTGAGACAGGGTTTCTCTGTGTAGCTTTGCGCCTGTCCTGGAACTTGCTCTGTAGACTAGGCTGGCCTTGAACTCACAGAGATCCGCCTGCCTCTGCCTCCCAAGTGCTGGGATTAAAGGCCTATTCCATCACTGACCAGCAAACCAACTTTTTAAAGCTAATCTATTATTCTACTAAGTGGACATAGTGATGAACTGCCACCTAAGTTTTTATCTTCAGACCCACACATGGGGCATCCTTCAACACCCTTCATCTCAGAAGAGCACTGGGATTGCTCCAGAATTCCTTGACTGTTTGTCCTGAAGACTTTAGTCATTTCTGTTTCCCACAGGTGTGTTTAGCATGTGGTCCATGGGCTGATATACCCCAGGATAGCCGTGAATGTGGCTCAACACAAAATAATGAATATATTCAAAATATTACAAGATAGAGCATAATCTTTATTTCCTCTTCTATCAGGTTCATGGTATCAGGCCTTATTGAGGTCCTTCAGACACCTGGAGCTGAGTTTTACGCAGGGTGAGAGACATGGTTCAATTTTCATTCTTTATACACAGTCATCCAGTTGAACCAGAATCACTTGTTGAAAATGCTGTCTTTTTGGACAACACTAGTGGAAACCCATGAACTGTGGACTGGTGGCTGTGGAGCCCTCATGGGACTGGACTAGGCCCTCTGGACACAGAAGATGGTTGTTTGGCTCGAACTGTTTGGGGGACACCCAGGCAGGGGGATCAGGATCTGTCCCTGGTGCATGGGCAAGCTTCTGGGAATCTAGTGCCTGTGGTGTGATGCCTTGCACAGCCTTGGTGCAGTGAGAAGGGGCTTGGACCTTCCTAGGCTCAGTGTGCTGGGCTCTGATGACTCCCCATGGGAGACCTCGATTTGGGGGATGTGGGGATTTGGGGTGGCTTGGAAAAGAGGGCTGAGGGGGTGGAAGGAGGGAGGAGGGAAGAGGGGGTTCTGTGGATAGCATGAGGAGTGAGTAGAAAATTTCTTAATAAAGAAAAATAAAATAAAATAAAAAAATGCTGTCTTTTTCTCCAGCATATATTTTTACTTAATCGTCAAAAATTGGGTGTTAGAAGGTGTGTGGACTTATGCCAGGGTCTTCAATTTATTTCATTGACAAATATATGTTTTTATGTCAATACCACACTGTTTTTATTACTATAGCTCTATAGTACCATTTAAAGTCAGGAAAGATGATACTTCCAGAACTTATTTTATTCTCATTTTCTCTGTCTCTCTGTCTGTCTCTGTCACTCTCCCCCCACCCCCCACCCGTATGTGTTTCTATATGCAGTTCAAGGGTTTTTTTTCAATTTCTATGAAGAATTGTATTGGAATTTTGATGGAGATTGTGAATCTGTAGATTGCTTTTGGTAGGATAAGTATTTTCAATTTGGGGAATAATAATCCTTCTTAGCAACAGTGTTGGCAATAATCACAGTGCCACAATCAAAAGTGAACACACTGAGGCTGACGAAGCATGAGCCCCAGTCTCCCCTCCTCCACTTACATGCATCTCTTTGAGGCCTTGTGTTGCATTTTGTCTTCATAATTTTCTATTTTCTTACTGAATGTGTTTCATGACCTCCCTTTACCTTGTATCTCTGACTCCAGAGACTTCAGGCTCCACAAAATCTTGGCCTGCCTTGAGTACACCAATTGGGAAATAGAGAATGATGGGAATATGTTTAAGACTATAGACTTTGGAGTCATAATGACTTGAGCTAAGTCTCAGCTTAGTTATTTAATAACTTGATCAAGTTAAGTAAATTACATATGCTCTCTTTACCTTAGTGGCCTCATCCATCCGAGGAGCTGAATGGTACAAAGCCCTTTTCACCTCCACAGTCAGGGATTGGGCCCAGGTGTTCATACACGCTATCTAAGTGCTCAGCTACCAAGCCACATCCCAGCCTAGCAAAACCTTCTCAACAGTGTTGTCCTAAAAATAAAATCAGATCACGCAGAAAGACACATTTTCTACTAGTTACTATAACTGAGTTATCTTTCCATTTTTAGTAAAGGGAGTGTTTGAGTTTGTTGTAAGTGGTCTAGCAAGGGAATTAGTTAATCTTCCTCCTAGGGCAAGGATGCTTCTTCCTTCATATCTCAAGAAGCAACAGGATGCAGCTTGAGGAAGATGGTTTGTGGCTAGAAGGCTGCTGCATTTCCCAGACCCAGGGTCAGTTGTGCATGAGCCATTTCTGTCCTCTAGGGGGCGATATTTGCTATGGACCTCTCATAGGGCCAAGCTGAGGTCATTTCCTGTTTGTTCTGTACTGGCGCTTCCTCCTTAGTCCTCCTTCCTTCTTGCTCTCCTGATGTAGGGGTCAGCTCCACTTCATTGTCTGAAGCCACCTCGGCCAACTCCTCCTCCCTGTCTCAATCTTTTGTGGATGTTTTCTCTGCTACATCTGATTCGTCTCAGCGTCTGCTTTTCAGAAGACCCAAACTGATATACCAGACATTTTATGTACAATGACTCACAAATCTCTCAGGTCAGGGTGCTGAAGCTTGGCAGGTGTTTGAAGACATGTTGCTACACACTCAATAAACAATATATTCAAGCTACTACAAAGAGGAGATAGACTGCAGAAAGAAAATCCTGCCAAAACACACTGCAAAATTACCTAAGGAGAGTACAAAGCCTGCAATTTGTAGACAAGTCAACAAGAAAGTCAGACTTTCCTATTTTGAGTTTGGACATGATTTAAAAAGTGGTTAATGGTAGTTTTCGGAAAGGAGTTAGAGAGGAGAGGTAGAAGAGGGACTCTGGGTGAGTGGTTGGCAGGGAATGTGCTCCAGGGTCTTCTTAAAGAGCCACAGTTAGAAGGAACAGAAGCCTGACAATACCAGGCTGCTCATAGAGAAGTTCCAATGACAAACACCACAGAAGAAACTGAATCACATGCTTGTGGTCTTAGAGGACAATGTGACGTAAGAGTGGCTAAGAAGCAGAAATGTGCTGTGAATAGTTAATGGTGGTCAGAAGAGCATCAGGAGTCAAACTGGCTTCTATTACATATTCTTTCCTTACACTTCTGGACTTCCTTCTCATCCTTCCAGCAAAAAGACACTAACTGCCACCTGCCATCAGTTCTGGGCTGGATTTCAGTATCAACAACCACATTCTGAGGGCTTCTCAATGATGCCACTACTGGTATTGTGGGTGGAACTGTCCTTTATTGTGCAGAATAGTCACATAATTTTCAGACTGCCTAGCATGTCTGGCCTTGTCCATCCAGTGTCGGGGGTGGACGCTCCTTCAAGTCATTATGATAAGAAGAAAGCTCCCATATGTTTCCAGATGCCATCCCCACTGTCATAGATGTGGTGTTTGACTGATTGAGTTAAAAAGGGAATTGAAACTTACGAGACATAGCCATATTGTACAAGGGAGAGAGTTGGAGAGCATGGGGTTGACTACATAGCTCATATCTATTATGTATCTCTTTCTCTAGAGTGAGAGTTACAAACTGGATCAGGCTCACTTAATCCAAATAACA